ATAGAAACTAAGAAAATACAAGTGCTTGTTTAGTCTCATGCTTTCTCCATCTTAAGCAGACTTCAAAGTATTCATTTTGTTGTGAGGAGTTAAGTGTTTGGCATGGGGAGGTATTTTTAATTGTGAAAAATTTCCTTGACAAGCAAATGTTATTCCTTTACCACTTGAGCTCATGCGTACATTTAATTAATCTAGCAATGATTTGGGAGATAGTATAGGATTACTATATTTACCCAAAGAATAGTGGAATTATTCAATTTATGAAAAAATAGTTTAACAAGTTGTTAATGCGAAAGAGACTCCGCACATACTCTGATCCACTTGAAACTATTATTTCAGACATTACTATTGTGATTTTGTATTGTTTTGGGTCACTACTAATTTGTTGCATCGACTTTTATAAGCTTGTGGTGTTCATTTCAAGTCTTGGAGGGTACTAGAGGTGATTTCAAACAAGTTGTGTTTAGGTTTATATGCATTCACCTTTTTAAGCTTACAACTTAATTTTGGCACACATCTCTTGCTTTTGAGGTTTGTATTGAGTTTGAGGTAAGTACATCTCTTCTGACCTACATTTGTTTTACCTCTTTTCAGTGTTAGTAAACAATTAAGGCTTCCACAGTGCAATATAAGACCAGCCTTCAGTGGAAATGTTTGATGCTGGACTATGATTTCTTTGAGTAACATTTTTCTGAAAGGATGTCTGCACAATTGTCGAACTCCATTTGATCTCTTTCTTGAACACTTCACACTCTTCTCTCTTTCTGCTCTCCTTTTTTTAGTAGTATTGCCAAACAGTACCTGAGGTACTTGTGCATGCTTTAGAGGTGCATTCGAGTGAGCTCTTTCTGCTCTTCTTTTTTTTTTTTTTAACATTTTAATTTTTTTTATTTACCTCTCCTTTATTCTAATATTTAACCAAAGCCTTGTGAAGCACAACTCTCACCTTTTATTCACAACTTTTGCAGTTGAGTGAGCTGCTTTATGCGTTGTGGTTATCTAGAAAAGAGGATCTATATTGTTACCATTTCTAACGTAAAGGCTCCTTACATTTATCTCAAGTATTGTTCTGTTAAATGGTGCATTGTTTTTTCATATGTCGGCCACCTAGTTTATGATATAATTCAAACCACTTGTCTGATCTTTTGCGCATTTAAGTAATTAGGTGGCTTTTAGGTCTGTTCAAATTGCAGTTAGATACGACAAATATCCTTAGAAACATAATCATTTTTAGACATATTGAGTTTGCTCTTATGGATAAATGTCTGGTTTGTACTGCTTTCATATTCTTCCTGTACTGTTTTATCCTATACAATTGCAATCAGGAAATTTTGTTCTCTATCTTCTTAATACTCAATAATTTACATGTTAAAACACAGATACTTCTCTGCACCAGCAATGGAAACTGAAAGACCCCAACACAACGTTCTGTTCGAAAGGATTTTGAATGAATCGCTCACATTTCATTTTTGGAACAGCTTAACATCTTCTTTGGTTCCAGAGCCAGACAGCCTTGTAGCCAAGCTTATTAACCATCATTGTATCTATTGCTCTGATGTATTGTAAATTTTGCATGATCTCTTTTTGACCTGATACCCTGCTTAAAGAAGAATGAATGATCCAAGATAGCATCTTGAGGCAAAGCTCCGTTTCATATTTTTTTCAAAATGTGGATCTAGTAGCCATTTAAATAGATTTCAGAGTTGGAAGAACAGGTCAATTGATGATGCTATACAGTGACATAACCTTCCTTTCATAAAGAACAAGAGTTCGTCAAGTTGACAACATTCGGAGTTTGGAGAAAAACCTTTTTCTGGAAATTGAAAATGCACCATCTGGTTGAAGGTTTTGTGCACTTGCTGGTTTCTCGGTTCATAGCTTGGACGAAAACTCTTGTGGATCCGGTGGGAGAAGAATTCAATGTAAATGATGATCTTTGTAGTAATATATATCTATTAGTTATTTTTCATACCTGAAGGTACTGTACGATGAAAAAAAATCAATTAAAAAAAATGAGCATTAGCAAGAGAAAAAGTAAAAAGTAGGCCGTATGTTTTTTGTGATGTGAAGCACTTATTTAAACTCAAACATAACTTGAAGTTCAAAAGACTGAAGTTTATAATGCACTAAAAGGTTGTTTTCTAATTTAAAGCCAAAAAAGAGAAAGAACAAACTAAAAGTCAAGGTTATAAACCTAATTTAATAAAATATTAGGTAAAAAAAACAATCAAGGCTATAAATTTTTTGTACCACGCCTTGCATAACCAAAGAGCAAACAAATGTAACATATAACTTTTCACTCGTCTCAATCTTTTAATTATACATGAAATAGTTCAAACTCACTTCTAAAAAGTTGAAAAACATTATATTAGAGGCCATTAAAATAACTAAAATTATTTAAATCACAGTCCTATCTAATTTTCAAAATCTTTAGAGGACCTAACAATAAAATAAAAGTCCTCATGTCAAGGAAGCTCTTTAATATTATATCACAACAATTTGCATCAAATCAAATAAAAACAAACAATTGGCATCAAGTCGCATTCAATTCCCCTCAATATTACATTCCATTAAATTCCCAACAAAATAACAAAACCTTCTCAAAATTCGCATTGGGTCATTACAGTTTGCAAATAAAACTAAGATCAAGGAATTCAATCCCCAAAATTACATACAAAAGTTAGGAATAGTAATTAAATATAAAGTACAAACCACACAACTAAGGTCATCTTTATTAAGAAAATGAATAGGCAAAATGACAATTAAGAAAAAACAATAGTAAACTTTTGTGATAGTTTAATCCAAAACCAATCTGCAAGGAATACAAAAAAAAAAATTGTATAATGAACTCAAGTCACAACAATTTGCAAACAGAAATTGGTGGATGTGGTTTGATTTGGTCGAATAACTATCGATGACATTACCACCATAATGGGCAGTAGACATAGAAAAGCTACCATGTCAACTATAGTTTAGTCTTAGAATGTTCAACCAAAAAAATTCATTGGCAAATACAGTTAAATGATACATAATGGAACATAGCTAGTAAATTTACCACTCGCAAAACATGGTCGCAAGGCAACAACTAGCGATTAAAACACAACTTTCTCAAATCGCCGTTAACATTCTACTTTTTGGTCCTCATGCGTAGAAGCAAGTTTTTTTTTTATTTCTATGTCCATTAATGTGGGCAACTCATGCAAATGGTATTAATGTGGTTTTATTTCTATAATTATGTTTGACCATAAGCCTGCAAGAGGACAGTCTTGAAAAAAACTAAGACAGGCCAATTAGATTAGAGTCATACCTAATTAATCATTTTTGTTGCAAAATAATAAAAGCTCAACCATGCAATTGCTTTAATTAAGTAACAACAGCCAAGTGTTGAACCAACACAACTATCAACCAATTAAATGATTTAATACCAACAGAGAAAATCCAATATAATCACCAAATAGTATAATGCATACAATTACTAAAATTGATTCATTCTAATAAATTAACAAAGAAAACGAAGAAGCAAGGATGTCACTGGACATTAACCTAATATCAATCAATTTCAGTAAAATTTCATCAAATTAACCTAATTCCAAAATCCTCAAAACCCGATAAATTAACAACAAAGCAAACAAATGGTGCTGCGGGCATGGGGGATGGGTGTGAGTGTGTTTGGGCCGTGGCTGGTGGTTTTAAAGAGAGGAAGGTAGATAGAGAAATAGAGAAGAAAATTCAAAAAAAAATATTAATAACCGAGATTTTGTGAGTTGCAAGCAAAGAGAGAGAGAGAGACCGAGCGTCTTGACTGAGTTCGGGGCTTCAAGTGGTTGAGAGAGTGTGAGAGAGAGAGAGAGAGAGATCTAGGGCTAAAATGGGAGGCAATTTGACATCATTCATTGGTTTAGGGCTAAAATTGGGGCAAATTAAAATCCATTGATCTGGAATGGAGAGAGAGAAGAGAAGACTTACATTCAATTGTTCATGTCCAGTTGAGTTCGAGACTTCGAGTGGTTGAGAGAGAGATCAATCTAGGGCTAGATTTGGGGCAAATTAAAATCCATCTATCTGGAATGGAGAGAGAGATCATAGAATTACATTCGATTGTTCATGTCTAGCTGAGTTCGATTGCCTTGATGTGTATCTTGGTCAGGGGTGTGTCGCTGGAGCTCAAAGAGAGAGAGAGAGAGAGAGTCAAACTGTTTAAGAGACAATTGAAGTAGCTGGAGACTTTGGAGCTGCTTGAGGTAGACTTGAACTGAGAGAATTTGGAGCTCCCTGAGTGAATTTGAACAAAGAGAGAGAGAGATGAGAGAGAAGGACGTCGCCGAAGAAAGTAACAAATTTGAACGTGAGAGTGAGAGTTCTAGAGAGAGAGAGAGAAAGTGTTGAGGAGTTCGCCAGAGTTCTAGAGAGTCTCTAGAATGCTAATTTGAGTGTGTGAGAGAATACGTGAGTGTGTGACGAAAAGATTGGGCTAGAATCTCAAAATTATTAGGTTAATATCAACCCTTAGACCAGATTTAGAAATGATCTGAATCACAAAAAATAAAAATTATTTTATTTATTTTTAAAATTTAAATTATAAATTACTTTATTATATAGATTTGCTCCTCCACAATCGTGTTTGTCAGTTTATTCTTTTAGCATTCATATCTCACCTACTCCCGATGTCAGATGTTTGACTGGTGCATCATCCTGTGTGTGTTGGATTGGAACAATATAGATTAGCTACTGAGTCTCCGCATTTTTGACAGTTTGAAAGAACTGCTAGGCTATAGATAATTCATGTTTAAAGCTTTGTCCGTGTGATCAAATACCAGAAGAACAAGGGATTTTAAGCACGCAGAAAAAAATAAAAAAGAAAAAGAAAAAGAGCAAGGCCTGTTTGGAGCTGCGACTGAGTTCTTCCGAACAGATTGCAGAGATCCATTAGTCTTCAAATGAAACCAATGTACACAAAGCCTGTGTTTTAATTTCTTTCACCCTATATAAAGTAATACAAATCCCCTACCACCTAATTCCACAAACTTGACTTAAATCTTTATTTTGCGTTTATTTTACACCACTTTTTCCTGTTTTCGAGTGTCCTGCGTAACCAATTGTTTTTCCGCTCCTTGCTGCAAACGGACATTAGCTATAAATTGAACAAGGAAAGCATGAACTTGATCAAAAGTAAAGTACACCACAAACCCAGCAAGCAGTCAAATTCGCGGATCCGCCCAACCGACCTCATACCATTTTGGTGTCTTTCAGCACCGTTCTTCCTTTCTGGAGATATCTAGGGCACCAAGTAGCATGAGATTTACCATATACATGATTTTTTTTTTTACTTTCTAGTTCATGGCATTGGGGCCAAAGCATCTCCCCTTCACAGGGTTCCAAACCCATTGCACAAGAAACCTCCTTCCTTTCACCCCATTCACATTATACCCATTACCCCATGAGTCCTTGTACACTGCTCCCACAAAGCCACCACCCCCCCCAGACCCATAGACACCCACACACAAATCAGCTATCTCGGTGGGCGCAGTTGGGTTATCCCCGGCATACCAAGCGTTCACTAGCGGGTTACTCGACACCTCGGCTAGCTCATGTGCAATCACACTGATCATTCCATCAGTACCTGCATCCCCATTTGGTGCACTCATTATATTGTTGGCTCCATTGCTGCTTGGAGGTGGCTTTCCAGAGTAATTTGGCCATGCAAATGGATAAGCACACATGCCTGGGCATTGAGTGCCACTATATCCAACCCATGCATAGGGCACTGTGACACCAACTATGGCTGGGAATGTGAAGTAGTGAAAACCACAAACTGCCCTGCAGAATTCCTGGACTTGAACATCTGACGATGTCAATACCAAGTAGAGACCATTGCGATAATTTAGAGGCAAAGGAGGGAGTGAGCTGACGGCATTTTCTATGATGTTTTGCATTGATAGACGAGTGAGGTACCTTCCCTGAGAGTATTTATCGTCATAGAATTCATCTGAGAGGCTGATACTACCGGTAATGTTTGAGCCAGTTTGATCAGTATAGAGCTGGATGGTTCGCCACCAATCGGAAACAGAAGGATATGGAGCAGAAGAAGAGAGAGAGTAGATGAAGTCTCTTATAGTGGCCCTGTGGTTTGGGTTCCAAAGACCATACCATATTATGTAGATGTTGATAGGAGATGCAAGGACAGGACCCATGTGGTATTGAAGGTCCACAAGGTCAGAAGAGCCTTCAAAGTTAATGGGCCGGTTGTATTGCTGGTTTTGGCTCCATGAAAGAGCTAGAAAAGAATAGAAAGAGAGAAATATCAGAAGGATAGGGAAATGCAGCTTTTGCATTTTGTGAGTGTTGCTCCCTACTGTTGAGAAGGTCTTAACTTATAATTGTTGAGAAGTAGCAGAAGTTACGGGGAGGTATTTTGTTGGATTCTTTTGCTCCTTTGTGGTGGAGGTGGACAATGGCCTGCACGCTGATATAATTCATTGCCATCATTGCTAACTTTTAATTGATTGTCACCTTGCTACTTTTCCTTTTTTCAACTTCAGGTACTAGAAAACTGGTATTTGGCTAACTAACCTGTCTCTGTATTTTATACCACCTTTGTACAACTTATTTTATTAGCATCGGAATCACAAAAGCGCATCATGCATTTTTATGTGGATTTTTGGTGTATTTTTGAATTGTGGGCGTGCCAAAGTTTCAATGTAATTAAAATCCAAACACGAATAATCTTACCAATTCGAATCGGTATGAAATTTTAAATTCATGACTATTTAGACAATTGTAACGAGGCATAAAGTTACCTCTACACTCTTTCTATGCCTTAGAGATCAAAGACTTAAACAATTTTATAACTTGTAACGTAATGGATTAGATTGTAGAAAGATAACTGAAATATAAACAAGTAGATAAACTAAACTTAGAGGATGAAAAGATTACTATACTTAACATTAAATGAAAACGGTAAAGATCACTGGAGTGATATCACAAATTAAAGTAAAGTTACTGGAAAGTAAAACAAGTAAGTAGGAGAGAGACTGACTTTGTATAGAGTTGTTGTGTTTGATCGAGGATCTTTTCTCTATAGTCTTGCCTTTGTTATTTACAGGAGATGACCTTCAACTGTTGAAGCCATTTTTTCCTAGAGATGTGCAAACGTGCAGCGAATCGTCTCTAACTGATGACTCATGATATCACGTTTTCTTTTTTTTAGGATTCTTAGAGTCTTACTTACTTAACCACCTTGTCAAGTGTGGACATTTACAGACTTTGCCATGACCATTGGATTGTTTCCACGTGTCCCCCTTAGATTTTGCTATTTTGGGTGTAAACATTGCCCCCCCTAAACGAGGCAATTGAACACTTCATATTTGGAGCATCGTTTTGGTTCTTTGAATTTAAACTCTTGTTGTCCTACACGCCTTGCTTAGCTATCACTCTGCCATTGGCTATGAATCTCTGAGTGTGTGGCCTAGCCTCCACGTGTAAACTTTCGGTCTTCTGTTCATCCTTTCAAATCTACAAAAAATGATTAACACATGATTCGTCCATTGCAATGGTTTGTTCTTCGCACATATATAATCCATCCTCAGACTTGCATTTTGCCAAGATTCTAACTTTCTCTTCTTCTTCTTCTTCTTTGATGGCTACCCCACACATTGTTGCCCTTGAAGCTGCTCTTGCACAATGGAGATGGGCCTTAGGCCTACTTTCAAAGAACTCCCTTCAGACGAAGTTCGCAATATCTACCCTAACTCTCATTTGTCTCTTTCTTTTAGGCTTGAAGAACCTCTCCAATGGTCGAACTGGCTCAATGGAAATCCTGTTCGTGTATGGAAAGCCCCTACTCTCGATTGGGTCTCATGGGTCGCTCATGTTAAAGCGAAAAAAGGCAATCTATAGCATTGTCTTGGCATTTGCGATGCTATAGAAAGCATTATCGCAATGCCTATTGACAAGTCGTTCCTTAGTACTGCTCTTTTGTTCTGGTTCATGGTGAACAACACCTTTCACTTTCGCTTTGGTAGGATGGACCCCACGATATATGATATATCTACACTCCTCAGCCTTTCTCCTTTTGAGGCTGAGGCTGACGGTTTCCTTCCTCATACTGAGGCGAGCTATATTTTTCCAACTAATGTGCAGGATAAGCCAGTTTTTGCCTATTCTCTTTTTATTGCGGCCTATTGCAGCCGCGATGGCTCTTTAGTCTCAGACAAAGAACACATTTTGTTCATACTTTACTAACTCAACAATTTCTTCTTCTGTATATCTTTATAAAAATTTACTAAGGAGTACATTCCACTGGCTGTGAACATCTCCTGTAATGCTTTCCCATATTGATTGAGGAATGTGGAAACAGTGCCAACAAAGATGAATAAAGGTTTCGGCCCTCTTTGGTTTCTTTAACTGTGGCTTCGCGCCTATTTTCTAGAATTCTTCATCTTGTCTATTGACAATGCCTATTTTTCTTAGAGCCGCGTATTTTCCACGTCCCCTTCTAAGGACCAATCCTTTGTAGAATGCTTTTCTTTTTTGTACAACCTGGACGAATCATGGCCTATTTGGATGTCGTTTGCCTTGGAAGTATATCCTTATGGCATAGTTGAGATTGAAAATCCGAAGAATGAGAATATCTTTAAAGTGAATGGTCAATGGTTTCAACCGTTTTTGGAATGAGTGGTCTGAGAAGTGGAATATATTGAGTTGGTGGATCCCCAATAGAAGTAATTTTTTCAAACAACTCACTTTTTGTACGTATGTGTTATAATTCTAACTCCTTGTCTTAGTTTTGTTTTTTTTAAGGTTGGCACAATGGCGCATGAGGTATAATTTTTACCTTACACTTGAGCATCTTTATGTGAATTTCTCTTTGCTTGATTATACATGGAGGAAGGACAATGTCATGTTTAGGTTGGGGGGGGGGGGGGGTGAGATCACGCTTTATGTGATGTTGTGTTTATCTTAGTTTATGTCTTAATTTTGTTGCATGATTTTTGTGTGTGAATTTTTTTTTGTTTTTGAAGGAAAAAAAAGGATTTTTAGCTAAGTGTGAAGTTTTGAGGATTTTGGAGAGGAAAAATCTTCTAAGTGTTGAGATGTATTTTATGGAGGATCAAAATTTTTCTAAGTGGTGAAAAAAATACTCCCGGAACCTCAAGTCTTGATTTAAAAATATCAAGTCCGGACATCGCTTCATCAAGAAAAAAGGAGGCACTTTATGAAGTCCACGTCCGAACTTGATTATGTCCACATTTGGACAAAGTCTAAATGCTTGACCACATCCAGACGTCACTTGTAGCACGTTCGAACGCGTGTTCATCAAAGACAAACTACCATCTGATTAATGAAGTCTGAAAGTAACTTTAACCACGTCCGGACATGGTTCCATATCAATGCCTATAAATTGTGGATGTCCCAAGTTCATTTTCAAACTTTAAAAAATCTCTTCTCTTCCCTCCTTCTCTCCTCTGCTTCACACCTCAGTCTTTTTTTTTTTGTCATTTTCTTATTATCATGGCTCCTTCTAAGAGCACCGTAGGCAAGAGGGCCCACACCTCTACATCATAGGACCCATAACCTAATCCTGATTAAGATAGGGCCCAATTTTATTCATTTAAGCTTAGCTAGTGGTTTCATGATCACTGTGAGACCAAGCCTATGTTAGTGGAGAGGCCAGTTTGGATAGCTAATTTTGATAGGATGGGCACTAAGGAGATGATGGTATCCAGGCGTTAGGGTCAACTTTTGGAGATGACTTGGGAGGGGTCCTAGTCATCATGAGGGAGTTCTATTGCAATGCTCATTGGGACCCCCATATTGGATGTTTGAGGACTTGGGTGCATTGACAGGGATACGTAGTGCTTGTCGTTGACATTGCCATGATGGCACAACTTGAGCAGGCTAGAGTGCCTCAACCTTAGTTCCTCTCCTCTCTTGTGGACCCGTTTGAGTGTGCACAACTATTATTGGGTGATCCAGGTTATGACTGGAACCCAAATGCAGAGAAATACTTGGATCAGAGAGCTCTTCTTGAGAGATATTGGATTCTTAATCTGATATCTACATCTCGATTTTTGCCTTAGATGCGCAATAATGAGGTGTACTTGGACTTGTAGCAAGTACTAAAGTGAGAATTCTATCAGGGTCAAGACCCATATTCCGATTTGACCTCTCATAATTGAGCTAGTTAACATGTACATAATTAAATCAACTTGTGCGATAATGTATACCACAACTGAAATTATATATATTATTAACTTTTGTGATGCAAAGTAAAATGCTAAATAAAGCTTCTCGACTGGCTTATAATGCAGCTTGACCAGAGTCAAAATCCTACTTAAATAATAAATGACATGTTCTTTGCTTGTATTATTATTTTGAGCCAGTAGACATCCAATGGATATGTCAGCAGCTGACAAGTACAACAACAACGACCTACCCTTTATAGGTGGCATGAGTACTAGTGTGCTAGCCAAGTACTTTTTGACTTGGTGGAAGGCTTTCTAGTGTTGTGTCTCCCATCTAAAGTTAGTCTTCTACACCTTTCAAATTTAGGAGCGGTGAGAATGCTTGCACCTTCCCTATGCAGCTAGCTATGTATTGTCGAAGGAAATTGATTTGACCAATCAATTGTTGTAGCTTTTTCTTAGTCCTCAGAGGTGTGGCCTCTATGATGACCCTTGCCTTATTCTTTTCTACCTCAATTTCTTTCTTGTGCACTAAAAATCCTAGAAAATTCCCTACTGTGACTCTGAATGCACACTTCAATGGATTCATCTTCAACTGATGAACACATATCCTTTAAAAAATATCCTTTAGTTCTCTAAGTTGTCTTGCCATGTCTTGCATCTTAACTATACTGTCGCCAATGTAAACCTCTACAATCTTGTTGATCATGTCATGGCTCTCTAGTATGTTTCCCCCACCTTCTTCAATTTGAATGACATAACCCTTAATTCAAATGTCCTTATTGATCTAGGACATCGAAAGACATTTTTGTGTTGATCTTCCTCGGCAATGAAGATCTGATGGTATCCCATGTTGCCATCCATGAACAATATGATGACATTCATGGTCACTGCATCCACTAGTTGATCAGCCAATGGCATGACATATTCATCTTTTAGAATTTTCATAGTGAGATTATGATAGTCGCAACATACCCTGATCTTGTCAATCTTCTTTTCGATTGACACGATATTCGATACCCATTCCACGTATTGCGCCACTTGGATGCACTTGGCCTACAAAAGATGCCTAACCTCTTACTTCACCAGCAAGGTTACTTCTTGCGAAATTAACCTTAGGGCTTGTTTGATCGGCCTATATCCATCCCTGATTGGTAGTCAGTGCTCTACTAAGGTTGGATTCAACCTTGCATTTCTTTGTAACTCTAGGCAAAACAATCATGGTATTCTCTTAGTTGTTGTATGAGTCGTGCTAGGAAATTCAACTCCAGTATTTTGATGAAGAAAGTTGGTCTATGT